GAACTCCAGCTTTCCTCCACCACTAAAACCTGGCACGTCCTTAAACGTAACCATGGCTGTTAATAGGACGTAAAATGCAAACAAATCAAACCAATTTTTCTTTTTGTTTCGACCATTTGTTGTAATATTTTTCAAAAACATCAAGTGCACTTCCTTTTGATATATCAATACCAAAGCATCGATGCAACCGTCTTACTAGCATTGCATGAACACCTATGAAATCCTAAAGGATAACAGCACAGCTTAACTGTTTAATACCATTCTGCTATCCATGCATGCTTAGTAAACAAAACATTTCATTTTCGACTGTGAAATGACAGCATTTTTTAAGCATAAATATCCATCCTGTCAGCTTTATTGTCAGTAACCCTATATGTAAATGAAAACACAGCTAGATTGATATGTATAACATAAATTCTGACTGTATTAGGTGAAGCGATGTGTCGGTAATGAACTTCAGTGTTAGTTGCCTCGATTTTAAAATGTTAGCATGACCATTTCTTAGTTGATAGTCAACAGGGAATTCCCTGAACATCCGACGGTCAAACTATATACAGGGAATGAACTTGTGATAATTTGTTTATCTGTAGTCAGCATTTTGAGGAACGTGAAACATAGGAACTTGATTCTGAATGCATGTTTGAGAACGCACGCGAATTTAAAATGTATTGTGGTTTTTACACATGGTTTAAGAAAGATACAACTATGTGATAGCCCCTTAAAAATGTGCAATAGATACTGTTATGCAAAACGAAACGTCGAGGAAAATGTCACAACCAGAAATCAAAGATAAAGATGAACCAGAAAAAAAAGAGTTTAACTTACCTGCACATGAAGATTATGACTTTTGGCAATATGTCCAAGTCGCCTCATTAACTCCATAGAGCAATTACCTGCAAACCTGGGAGTGATCGATGGTTTGATATGTGTGTACTGAAAAGGTAAATAACTATCAGATTAAGATGACTTGAGTGTCGGGATTATTATTTTCGTCAAATTAAGTATAAAAAGACATCACCATGCAGGGAATAGCGAAAAGAAATGTTTTTATAGAATTGATGTAAAACATGATAATCTATGCACTTTGCACTTTGCAGCTTCCGTCATTTCGTCACGTGATATCTTTTTTCAATAAGAAATGTGTATTATAATCATTCACAATTCAAAAAGGTTACAAAATAGTACTAAGATAGTTGCAAAAACATTAAGACTGTTAATGTTTTTAGTAACAGTATACATGGCAACAAATTCCAAAAATAACTGGCAACTAATCATCTTAATGACAGGGATAACATGACTAACGAATATCCTTCATTCACTGTCTGATGATATCAATTACAAACCTTTCTACTTTCAACTTCTTGAACATATCTGGAAAAAGAAGAGATAATATAACGCTATTAATTTACTTCTATCTGAGTTTTTTTTTTAACTTTCTTGTTTAGTATTCTTTGTAAAATTAACTGAATAAAAACGTGTATATCATCTAACTATTCTTTTTAGGTTTTATTTACATTAATCGACTGGGGGGCTGGTACCACCATACACAAAAAACTAGAGGATAATTTTAAGAGATATTTCGTAACATGAAATACGGTTTGCATGTGTTATATAGATGTTAACAAACCGTAAGGTATCCTGTACTGATGTCGTTGTTTTTTCTTTGTAATTGTCAGGGCAGTTTTGGTCCATATTGACTTTGCCTACAATTGCCCTCTGTCCAATACTTTCTAAAACCGAAGACAAATACATTCTAAACGAAAAGCACATGTTCACACTTAATCCCGACCATCGTGCTAACTTATACAATCTCAGCGATGATTGTGGCGCGAGTTAACAGTCAAATAAATATCTGAACAGTTGAAATAGGAAACAAGCATGACAAACCACATTTTTAATATTCCTCAAACACATAAAACGTAGCAAATTTTAATTTTCCGAACAGATAACGAAGCGAGATAATGCAAATATTGCCTGTTTAGTAAGGGTGTTTTTTTCCTTAGAAACCGAATATATATTAAATTATAAATGTGATAAAACATAATGTATATCATGATTGATTATAAGAATTCGAACATTTCTGTTTTTAATGTGTTTTTTTCTTAATGGTGAACTTTATATGTCATGATAAAATATAAAATGCGGCTATCAGTATTCCAATACTCACGTAATATGTCACAGAGTTTCAGTGTCGGACTGGTATGAATTGTTGCATAATAGCTGGCTGTGGTCGTTCCATTTTTGATCACCCGAGACTAATGCAAGATGTTAACATCTTATATCATTAATTTGTTTATTGTTAAACTGTTGAACATTCTTTGATAAAGACGAAAGCATTGCAAACAAGACAGTAAATAACTGGTTAAGGTGTATGACGGAAAAACAAGGAGAAACGTATATTATCATTTTTGTTTTTGGCTTTGAAATCGCTTGTAAAATTATTTTCTATTCTTTACAGCTATCTTAAACTAAGATAACATTTTGGATAATAGAAGTTTTTTAATAGCATCCTATCAACTCTTTTGTAGATGATATTGTATAGTCATGTTATTGAAACATACTTACCACGACCTTCCAATACTTCGTGGTGGCGAAGTTAGGATCAGCAAATTTTGCTTCGGTGGGAAATGTGTATTTGTGTAGCCAGGACAGCATGTCTTCGTCAAGGTATTTCCCACAGTTAGAGTACTGTGAGGCATGGATATGGGTATCGACGAATCCGGGCACTACAAACTGTCTGCAAGCAGGGTAAAACGGTATAAACTGTTTACAATTAGCGGGGACATGGGGACCATCCACAACATGTGAATACGTTCTAAATCACTTTCGCATATAATGACATAGTTTAGAAAGTAGTTTAATACGGGGTGTTCTATGAATATACACTTTAGGCAGAGGCACCAAAACTCATGAAATTTTGTTTTGTCTGCTAACAAATATGTCATGAAAGAAGTTATTTCATATGTCATTTACTTGTGCACAGAGGTCAGCATATGAAATGAAGTTAAAGTTTCTAAAATAACCGACTTCCTATTTTACAAAATTTCAGCAGCCTGTGGAATTTTGCTTTTGCTAGAGAAATTTCATAATGTTGGTTGTCATTTAATCAGTCAGTATCTCATGAATTCACGTTTATGGCGTATTGCCCGCTCCGTTATACATGTACTACATGTCCAATGCTTGAATATGCAGATATT